GACGAAACGATACAATATTAAACGGTACGAGACGAAACAGTACGGAAACTGCGTCACGACGGGGACTGTCGGCACGAATCACCCCCTGAGAGGGACAAATTCGCGGCGCCCGAGGGCAGCTGACGTCCGATAATTAGCGGTACAAGTTTTATACTTTACGCGATAATTGAGACGGTAAAATCGCCGCCCCGCGACGATTCCTTTTTTTCTTTTTTTTTTAACGTAGTGACGCCAGCTGATCCCGGACGTAAAACACCTAGGCTACTCGTGCGGCGGCTTACAGTATCAGCTGGTGGCGGTTTCCTTCGAGATCATCTCCTTCGGTTTTCCAGGTAGTGACACACTGGACACAGGCTCACCGAACAGTGACGAATCTTTTCTGCGTCCGTGAGGCCCTCGGATCCCGCGCCGATCTTCCGCGCATCCCGTCGATTTTTTGGAGAAACGGGGGTTGATTCTCCGCCCCCTTCAACATCTCCGCTGTTGGACAGTGTTGCCCTTACGCAGGGGTTCCGACCCGACGCTGACAGTAATTTCTTAGCGGTGTCTCCTTGCAGCTCGGACTCCGCAGGCTGGCCAGGCCTTATCGTGGTCCGGAGTCTGCAGTACTTCATTCTCTTCCCAGTCTGCAGCCTGGGGGTGGTCAGTCGTCCAGATTTTCTGCCGTCCTGAAAATTTTCGGGATTAATATTTCGCGGACTTCGACTAGCGGCGGCGCGAGATCTCTATACGTGACCTTATCTCTGTGCGGTATCCTTAGCCCATCCTCCGGCCCATCCACCTTACTGGCGGTATCTTCGGTATCTTCGGTATCTTCGGTACAGGTTACAATATCACACGCTCGCACAGGCCGCCGCACTCGCTATCGCACGAATCTTACTTGGCTAAAATAAATCTAAATATGCGAACAAATTCAAATTTAAATTCCCTCTCAGGCGCGAGGAACGACCCTGCGCTTGCTGTTTCCCCTCGGCGGGGTCACTGTGACGGAGCTTAAAAAGCGTCACGTCACATCTTTTATAACACCTCGGGTTTAATTATCTGCATGTTTATCTTTAATTTTCTATTATCAGAATCCACTGAAGCGCGATGTAGTCTCATTATAATTATTGTCTCGTGCTGAGATAATAATCTTTGTCTTTCCGATAAAGCGCGTCATGAACAGTTTGTTGACTTGTTTCGATGTTCCAGTGTAATGTGCCCGAGATGAAGTGTGGAGGTAAGGATTGTTTCGTCGAGACATAAAGCGATTAAGGTAACGAAAGTCGGTAGGTGAGGGTTTGTTCTGCCAAGACGTAACGACTAAGGGTAGCGAGGTAACGAGAATTTGACTTGGAGCCCTATGGGCTCCTGGAGTGGGAGAAGGATTGCTTCTTCGAGTCTAGTACCGTGGAGGTAGAGAAATAAAAATTTGCTAAATCAGCGACATAGCCGGAATCGACCAATCGCTCTAGGTCACTATGGTGCAAGCTAATCACAATCGAAACTTCCGGGAGGTGGGGTATTGTTTCTTCAGGTATTTAGCACCTAAATTAACTTTTCAATATCCTAATCCACCAATTAGAACGTCTCCCTCCACTTCACCTGGCCACGTCCACAGCGCCAGGGGCCGAGTGGTGGAGATTGTTTCGACGCACCAAAGTGGTCCATATCTACTGATAAATTAATTAGAAACTTAAATGTCTCGTATTTCTAGTAACCTTTCGCAGCCTTCATGAAACGGCAGCGTGAGAACAAATTACTTCTCAGAATATCGATTCTGCGGTAAAAAGGTAAAAGCAATATGACGAAGCAATATGAAAGACGCAATGAAAGCTTTGATTTTCAATATTATGTGAATATAGTACCAGAGTAAAGATCAAACGTGTAAATAAACAATTTTTATTATAAAGACTTCCAATTATTATAAAAAGAGAAAATCGAGATATATTATACTGTTCTCTTCCTTCTGTTTATAACTATAACTGTTATATAACTATAACAGGTCTTTTTTTAAGGAAAAATATTAAAATAAATAATTTAACAATATAAAGCTAAAAATTTTGGAAACATAAAGAAATAAGGAAATATTGATACAAAGAGATTATGTAAGACTCTATTTATATATCAAGCGACGCGGTAGCGTCGCGACGCCAAGTACATAAAAAACAAGTCCAAGCATTGAGTTCCACGTATTGAGTTGAGAGTCACTGTTCTCGACGCGGCGCTACCAAGTACCTTATCCGGAATTTCGCATCAAGTAAACTTTCGGTTAAGATATTTAATAAACTAAAGCCGTAATCAAAAATATAATGACACTTTTATTATAAAATGTGAATATATGCTTTCGATTGCGACTTGTTTGAACAAAATCGGTGCAGTCAATCCTGAGAAATGATGATCGAATATCAGAATTGTAACATTTTTCGTTTTCCTTCATTTCCAGTAGTCTCACGTACATATGCTCGCACGCACACACGCAAAGTGAATTTGTCCCTCAAGCGGCGTTCACATCGCTGCGTATACGATTATTGCTTCGATATGTACAATGCTTTAAGTGACAAAATCATATGTGTGCATGTGCGCACATACATGTGATATGTATATGTATGTGTACGTACATATGAAAGATAAATTTATTAAAGTATAGTGAGGAATAGTGTAATATGTATGTGTACGTACGTATGAAAGATAAATTTATTAAAGTATAGTACGGAATAATGTAACAAGGAATAGAAGTGACACGTTAAGGTTACTTGTTTAAAAAGACAGAAGAGAAGTGACATATTATTAAAAGTTATTATCAAGCGACGCAGTAGCGTCGCGACGCCGAATGTATTGATTAGTAAAAAACCCCAGACTTGTGACACTTAACGATCGCCAAGTGGACTGTGATTTATCAATCAAAAGGTAAATATTGTAAAATTTTTCTCATTTCTATTTAGATTAGACATAACATATATTTTGACATATTATATTAATAAAGAGAATAGACATATTGACAAGAGAATAGATATTTTGACATATTATATTAATAAAGAGAATAGAGAGTTATCATTTTGTGGAATATATTTGTATAATTTATAATTATGTGTGTGTGTGTGTGTGTGTGTATGTGTGTGTGTGTGTGTGTGTGTGTGTGTAGAAATTTACATATTTGACTGTGCAGTCATAATTATACCCAGTAAGCAAAATGTTAGCAGTCTGCCAGCAGCATGCGAGCAGATTCAAACAGAATATTGCGGCAGTTTGGCATCAACTGCGTCCGTATTAAGCTTGGGTTCTGCTAGCAGAATCTGTCAACATAAACTGACAGCAGATTGACAGCAGAAATCGAGCAGGATCTGCGCATGCAATTTGATGTTAGATTGTCAGCAGAAACCGAGCAAAATCTGTGCATGCAACCTGATAACAAATTGACAGCAGAAACTTCACAAGATTTGCGCTTACTTTTATTAATGTTATATAAATGCAACACAATTGATCAGGTGTTAAATAACAATATTATCGGCAAGTTAATTAGAATTTTCTTAGAAAATGACATATATGTAATATGTTATATCGTAGTTATATCTCATATAGCGAAGGACTAATTCAATTTAATTAAATTAATAATAAAGTAAATGATAAAAGTAAATGTAACTTGTAAAACTTGAGATGAATTGACTTGAGACTAATTTATTATATTTAGAATTAAATTCTTGCTTTATGCCTCAAATAAGCAGTACATGAATAATTTTTCATTTATCATATTGATTTCAATCAGTTTAATATTCTGACTCTCATTTGCTTCTATCAGATATCAGAAATTAAAGTGATAGAAATTAAAATAATTACTACATTTTTAGTCTTTTATTCATATTCGCGACTTTATATATATTTCTGACAGAAATTCAATTACGAGAAAGTACAGCTCGCGTAGCGGTAAGTGAAAGAATTATCGAATCATGCAAACCCTGTTCCGTTTCTGCCATCAATCTGCTATCAGAGATTGTATGCGCAGATCCTGTTTGACTTTTGCCGACAATCTGTTGTCAAATTGCATCGCACAGATCCTGTTCAATTTCTGCCACCAATCTGCCACTAAGTTATGCCGGCAGAATCTGTTCGATTTTTGCTGCCAATCTGGTAACTGATTATGTTAACAAACTTTGTTATATTTCTGTTGACATTCTGCTGACATCACATGATATATCAGAACCTGCATCGATTCTGTAATCTTTCTGTCGACAACAATTTGTAACAGATTCCCTGACAAGATCTGCTTTAGCAGATTTGGCTATTAGGGATAGTTACATAGACATTTATTACATTTGCCTGCGTAGACACAAATATAGTTACATAGAAATATTTCCTATATCTATAATAATAATTATATATATATATCTATGTGTGTGTGTGTGTGTAGAAATTTACATATTTGACTGCGCAACCATAATTATAGTTACATAGACATTTATTACATTTGCTTGCGTAGACACAAATATAGTTACGCAGAAATATTCCCTACATATTATAATTATTTATTATATATATATATATATATATATATATATATATATATATATACCCACACAGCAATATGACTTCTAAAAGAATTCTTAAAGAGTTCTCACGTAAGATTTAGACATCCGAATGTATCTTCTGAAAGAAGACTTAATGACTTCAGAAAGTAATCTAATGCGCCACTTTAAGAAATAAGTAAGACTTCTTCAAAAAGATGTCTTAAAGACTTCTTTTTTCTGATTTCTTTAAGACGACAATAAGAACGCTTTTTTGAGAATTGATGTTTCGGAAATGATATTATTATTTCAATATATATGTATTAAAAAAAGTTTTATTTCAGTTATTTGATTTTTGTTGATTTATAAATTTATAAAGAAAATATAAATTATGCCTTATAAATAATACAAGTAAAGCATAATCACATATATGTTTATAAAAATACATAATATAATTTATATTATTCTATATATATATATATATATATATATATATATATATATAATATAAATTATGCATTGTGTTTTTTTTCATGGTATCGAACGCGATCACCGGCATGCTGAAGCCAGCTTTGTATTATTGTCTGGACCTCATGAATGGTGCAAGCCTCCGAAGCGATCATGGCTTCTGAAATAATAATTAAGCTGTGTAAACACCTTTAAATATTGATTTTAATGAAAAAAGATAGAGTGACCAAGCTAGTAAATAAACGATTTAACCAATCAGTTAACAATAAAAGTTTTTATTTTTTAATAATGGAGAAATTTAAAAAATTGCAATTAATATTTAAAGATTGACGACTTAAGTAGTTATTAACCATTTTCATCATGTGGTTATGAGGAAAAATTTTGATTACATGCTTAAGGAGATACCGTTAATGCATACCAGTCAAGTAAAAGAAACTTTCGCACCACTTCCTTTTGTACTTCCTTAAATTTAAATGATGTTCATTCACTGTTCCGTTCATTTATACAGCCTTGGTTACGCTAATATGAATTACAAATTATCAGTCCGATTCGAAATTTAGTTACCTACAAAAACATCAACAAATTTCATGTCTTTGACTCCGATCGTTTTTTTTTGACCTGTCCACGATAGTTTGCATGCCAAATCGTCGTTTAATATGGTATTTGACGGATATGTTTCTTAACATCTCTGCCACCTCTCATCTGAATCATCTTTTTCTGAAAAAATATAGTTTAAGTAACATACTAGAAGAAGTAGAATAATAAGTAAAATAATAAGTAAATAATAATTAAAATAAATTAAATCAAAATTTTTGGTTAAATTTCTAGAAAAAAATTCTTGATATGTCAAATGAACGTAAATAAAAGCTGCGTGCGCGCGCGTGTGTATGTGTGTGTGTGTACTACAGAAATAGTAAATAAATAGCTAGATATATATTACAACCAGAAATTTTAATAATTGATGATAGTTGAAACTGAAGCAAATTTTTCAAGTAGTAAATAGAATTTAAAAATTATTAACATATTGATTACGTGCTCCTGCATCGTCATCTAATAATTTATTAAATGCCTTTAAACTTTCTATATTTTGTATAGGAAATTGTGGTAGGGCATTAGCATTTTGCGGATTTTCATTAATGTGATTAGAGTCCATAAGAAACATACTTAAAGCTTCAAGTTTATGCAATATTCTTTCAATATTGAGACGACATGCAGCTGTAAATAGAAAGATAGCATTAATCAGTTATGTGTAAGCTGTAAGACTTCTTGTTGATAAGTGAAATAATCAAGATAAATTTTCTTTTAAATTATTTAAAAAACATGCTCAGTCAGTATCTTTATCTTATTAAGGAGGTTGGGGCGTTACATAATATATGATAAAAAAATTTTGTAGATTTACATATTAAAAAAATCATTATCAAAATTTTATAAAGTTTAGGAAGCTGTTTATTGAAAAAAACTTAATTAGAAAATCGTCAAAATTACATGGACTCTTATACTCACAACAACAATGTGTATGACACTTCGTGGAGGATGGATCCTTAACAGTAGCAGCAGTAGTTTTTTGCTTTACAACTGAAGAAACATGAGAAGACTCAGGCTTTTCTTGGCTTACTACACGTATTGGTATATCTATTGAAACATAACCGACATTTTCAAGATATATTCATTACATAACTACAAAATAATCATAACTATATAAAACTGCATATTTTGTAAAAAAAATAAAAATTTGTTATAGCTATGATTAGAATTTGTTAGCTGGTCCTAATAATGGTACAATTTACTGGTTTTAATACTATGAATAATTTTAACATCCTTGCGTGGTTGGAAATAAACTGAATCTAAAAATATAAAAATTTAGAATGAATATTACAAAACTTGACACAGCAATCTTATTTTTATATTTTTTGGGAAAACTAACCAGAATTGAGATTTTTGTCACATTTATTAACAGGTTTGACTTTTTTTAAATCAATAGCTTTTTCAGATTGTACTGGGTCTGCAAAATAATTTCCGTAATCCAAGAGTTCTGTGTCTTCGAGTAATTCATCATCCTTATGGTTATTGTTATTGTCAGGCTCCAAATATATATTTTCATCTTCAATATTCTTTACTTTCTGACATTTAGAGGCATTTGTTGGACCTAAATAATTATACACATAAAATTAAATAAAAATACAATGATAACGTCAGAGTGATAAAATATAAAATTTAGACGAGTACTAGATATATGCAAAAAATAATGGAAATTATTTTTTTATGATCTATTTAACATTAAACAAAATTTTTTACCTTTTGCTTTAGATTCCACCAAATTTTTTTGTTCTTTGTGATCAACATTATATGCAAATGTAGGTTTGGGAATATTTTTTTTAATTTTAGTTGTAATGGCTAAGAAAAAAGTATAAAGAACTTATAGTCTGCATTTATAAAATATATAAATGTATAGACAATAACAAATTGATACACTACTCTCCGATTCATTATCAGCATCTTCTTCATCAGATGAAATTAAATGTGCCGGTTTTTTTCGAAGGCGTTTCTGCGGAAGTTGATCACTTTGATTAGTAATGTTTTGTAATGGCTCTTCATCATCGTTAGTCGATAAATCAACAGCAGCAATTTCTACTGCTCTGGCAGTTTCGTAATTACCTTGGAGAAAATTAATTTATATAAATTTAATAATAATCAGCCCAGTAAACACAAGCTAATAGCAACATAACATTAATTATTAACATTACATTGAACTTACTATACGGTCCTAACACTCTTGTGTATTTGATGACTGCCCAATTATCTTTTGGATTAGTCGCTTTTTTAGATTCCATCGTTGGATTACTAGTTTTCGGGGGCCATTGTACTTTATGTATTTTAAGATTTAACCAACATGCTGGCACAGTCGCACACCAATCATGGCAAAATACAACAAAATACATCTGGAAAAAATAGCAGTATTTATGAAAATTAATGTGAGGTTATTTGTAATTCATACCCCAATAGCCAAGTCTGCTAAAGCAGATCTTGTCAGGGAATCTGTTACAAATTGTTGTCGACAGAAAGATTACAGAATCGATGCAGGTTCTGATATATCATGTGATGTCAGCAGAATGTCAACAGAAATATAATAAAGCTTGTTAACATAATCAGTTACCAGATTGGCAGCAAAAATCGAACAGATTCTGCCGGCATAACTTAGTGGCAAATTGGTGGCAGAAATTGAACAGGATCTGTGCGATGCAATTTGACAACAGATTGTCGGCAAAAATCGAGCAGGATCTGCGCATACAATCTCTGATAGCAGATTGATGGCAGAAACGGAACAGGGTTTGCATGATTCGATAATTCCTTCACTTACCGCTACGCGAGCTGTACTTTCTCGTAATTGAATTTCTGTCAGAAATATATATAAAGTCGCGAATATGAATAAAAGACTAAAAATGTAGTAATTATTTTAATTTCTATCACTTTAATTTCTGATATCTGATACAAGTAAATGAGAGTCAGAATATTAAACTGATTGAAATCAATATGATAAATGAAAAATTATTCATGTACTGCCTATTTGAGGCATAAAGCAAGAATTTAATTCTAAATATAATAAATTAGTCTCAAGTCAATTCATCTCAAGTTTTACAAGTTACATTTACTTTTATCATTTACTTTATTATTAATTTAATTAAATTGAATTAGTTCTTCGCTATATGAGATATATCTACGATATAACATATTACATATATGTCATTTTCTAAGAAAATTCTAATTAACTTGCCGATAATATTGTTATTTAGCACCTGTAATAATCAATTGTGTTGCATTTATATAACATTAATAAAAGTAAGCGCAAATCTTGTGAAGTTTCTGCTATCAATTTGTTATCATGCGCAGATTCTGCTCGGTTTCTGCTGACAATCTAACATCAAATTGCATGCGCAGATCCTGCTCGATTTCTGCCGACAATCTGATATCCGATTCTGTGAGCAGGTTCTGCTAGCAGATTAGAAGCAGAATGAGGACGCAGTAGATGTCATTCTGCTGACATGGTTTGATCAAATCTGTTGCCAGTCTGTCGACATACTGCTTACATTTTGCTTATTGGGATATCTAATACTCTTATTCATTCGAAAAGTATTAAATTTACTATTTTTAATAATTATTAGCATTTTTTCAATACACTTACCTTAATTAATTGATTTATAACGCACTAAACTGCATACAAGCGTATATGAGTGTTATTCTATAAAATGGTTGTGTAAACTTCTCATGCTGTGATCACTACGTGTAGGGGTTCAGAAATCCTACTCGTAGAGTAAAGTCGCTTTTAATTGACCAATCGGAAGAAAAAGAACGAAGACTTCTTTGTTTTGATTGGGCAATTAAAAGCTACTCTACCTTATGAGTAAGATTTTTGAAGGCACTTCAGAAGGCGCAGCAACGTCAGCAGCAACGCGCGCAATTTGAATTAGAGGTTGCGAAATTATTAAATACATATGTAAAATTATCAAAGATTTTATTTAACGTATAATTACATATCTTTTTAAACTATTTTCATATAAATGTAAAAAACTCAATACTTCGGTAAATTACAACCAGAATAAATATAATTGAAAAGTATATAATTTTACACTTCAAGAATCACACTTTTAAATACTTCGCTTTCATAACAATTTCAATAAATTATTAAATTGAATAATGTATTAATCAAATATATAACTGTGTTCAAAAAATTTTATGCAGATGAATGAAGTAATGGAAAAAAACAAAAAGTATTGTCATAAGGCAAACACACGGCTTTTAAAATAACATCATTTGCATTGAAGTCTTTTAAAGTGGACCATTTATTTCCAACTACTATATTCATTGATTTACAATCAATTGGATAGTTTTCTAAATTAATTGAGTTCATCAACGTTTCTCCTTGTAAAATAATATCATTGTTATTTTTTATATAAATATTTTCAATTCGAAGAACATCATAATTTTTAACATAACAAAATGTATTACTAATTTGATGAATCGAAAGTGTGAACGTTTTATAATTAATTTTATCATATGAAGGGACTCCATTTTCTTTGGATTTTTTAGTATTATAATTTGAAACTTGAGGTTTGATCAAAGCATTGTTTTTTTGTAGATAGCTGCAGCCAGCTTGTTCTACAATTCTTTTATGTAATTGTTGTAAAGGCTTTTCACCTTTTTTTAAGTGTTTCTTAATATTGTTTAAATAACTTTCGAATGCAAAAGCACTAAATGAATCCAAAGAATCAAATCTCATAACATCATTAGCCAAATGGATTAAATTATGAACATTAAAAATCACAAAGTGTCTTCCATACAATGCAATAGATTCTTTGACGAAATAGCGCAATAAATTGTTTGCACACTCATTATTATGAATGCAGTCAGTCTCGTGACACAGAATTCTTATTGCGCAATGTAAGGTGTTAAAATGATATAAATATTCACTTGATAGATGATTTTTCAGAACAAGTGGGCCTACATACAAAAAAAGAATCGCAGTTCAGTTGCTTTCCATCGATCCAACTCATCGAAACTTCGTATTTTCCTGGCAAATTCGGTTGGTATCCATTTCCTTGTCAAGATTAAATATTCCGATATTTCATTTATTGTTTTGCTATTGAATTTTACAATTTGCTTCTCATTCACACGCCATCCTTTGATAAAGGCTTTTAAAATTTTTTTCGTAACGCCAAGACAAACGAGATGCATATATTCCACAGGAAATTGAGATACCATACCTACATTTACTTCTTCAAAGATGGATTTTCCAATATGATGATCTTCATTTACTCGTTGTAGAAAATTATCATCTGTGCGTAATGGTGCATCCATCTCTAGAAATAACATTCGACAATCTTCATATTCGCCCTCTTGCATACATTTACCACATCCAAAAAAACCATTATGTCCTCCCAGACAGCACAGGACATCCTATGGACATTCATTTTATGTCCATTTTACGTCCGTACGTCCATGGACATGAAATGACTGTTCATCGTACATCCGATTCGGGACATCCGTTAACGGCCAATATTTGGACGTCCACAAAATGTCCGATCTTGGACATCAAAGTTTCGCGCGAGCACGCAAGGATGTGTTAGTTCGTTCGTTTACCGCTATGCGACGTGCGATGCGCTATCTTTCTCGTATTTAAGTTTTAGTTATAAGAATTATATAAAGTTTGCAAAGAGTAACAAATAAGATTAAAAATATACTGTTCAATTTAATTTGTGATCTCAATACAAGAGTTTCAGATATTAAATTGATTTTATAAGTCGTACAAGTAAATGTCCGGCAAATAAACGAAAATAATCCGGTACTTATTTAAACTTGCTTGTTGCACTTTACATTTTAAATTACCTATTTAAAATGTAGAGTGCAATAAGCAAGTATAAATATAAATAAAATTTTTACATGAATTTTATGTAAAGTTTTATATGAAATAGATAAATTATACTATTTTATTATATTATTTAATTTTGTTGGGCCAAAGAATTTTTTATGTTTTAAATGTTATGAAGGATACATAATGCTATTTATTTATGTATAATAAAGAACAATTTTTTATATATGATTAAATTAGGTCAAAATCCATACATAATTATATCTACACAATTATACATAATTAAATATAAATTTTTTTCTGAGTTTATGAATTTTTGATATTTATTCCTGATGATGTTAGAGTAGCGAGGATAAGGGGTGGACGAAATAAGTATTACCACAGATTCATTGAGCTGCAACTTTTAATATCCAGTAACTGTTCGAGTAGAGTCATGAAGTAAGAAAGTATAAAAGAAACGAAACTAGAATTTAGAACGTAGATTACATAGTGTAGAGAGAGATTATACATTGCTCAATCTAACACTCCGCCTCAATGTATGAGCCGTAACATAAATGTAAATATAGCTTAATTTTTGCAAACACCAATATAAGAACGAAGCTTAACAAATTGGTCTCCTGTGAGACTTTTCGTAAGTATATCGGCAGTTTGCTCTTTGGTATTTACGTAATGCACGTTGATTTCTTTGCTTTGGTACATGTTTCTAACAAAATTGTATTTAACATCAACATGTTTTAATCTACGATGTTCCCATCGGCTTAACAGATGAATCACAGATTGATTGTCCTCAAACACTGTAATGGGATAGGCACTATTCACATTAAAGTCCTCTAAAAGTCCTTTTAGCCATATTGCTTCCGTCAAAGCTGTTGCCAAAGCAACATATTCTGCTTCAGTAGACGAGAGGGTGATTCCAGTTTGCTTTTTCGTTGACCAAGCTACCGTAGAGCCGAAGACCTGAAGTAGAAAGCCAGTAGTTGACTTGCGATCGTTGTCTGTAGCCCAATTTGCATCTACGTAGACTTGGAGTGGTGTTCCTGGATCTAAGCCTCGTTTGAACAGCAGTCCATAGTCGAGAGTGCCTCTAATATATCGAAGAACTCGTTTAAGGCCTTTCCAATGAGTTAATTTCGCATTGTTCTGGAAACGACTGTAATAGTTTACAGTAACACTTATGTCAGGACGTGTGTTGAGCATAAGAAACATCAGACATCCAACGAGCTCTCTGTATGGTTTTATCTCATTTATGACTTCTCCGTCATCGTTTTCTTGTTTTTCAGGATTTGCTTCCATGGGTGATTTGGAAGAATTGCACTCCGTCATTCCAAAGCGAGTGAGCATTTTTTCCATATATGCTCTCTGGCTCAAAAATAGGCCTCTTGATGTTTGCTCGATTTTTATTCCGAGGAAACTTTCAATTTCGCCAATGTCCGTCATAGCGAATTCATTTTTAAGAGCATTAACAATCTCTTGAATCTGGATTTCATCTTGGCCTGCAATGATAATATCATCGACATAAAGCAGTAGATACAGCCGACACCTTTGGGATATTGCTACATAGAGACAGTGATCTCGTTCTGATCTTTTGAATCCTAGGGTCAAGATGAACTCGTTGAATCGAGCATTCCATGCTCGTGGAGCTTGTTTCAGTTCGTATAAGGAACGATTCAACTTACATACGAGGCCATTACCTTGGGTGAATCCTTGAGGTAATTTCATGTATATTTCTTCATCAATAGTTCCGTGTAGAAAAGCATTTTTAACTAGTCTAGCTGTCTAGTTTTTAGCCTGAGTTGGTTGACTATCGATAGAAGGGTTCGCACCGTAGTGAGACGCGCAACTGGCGCATATGTTTCTTCGTAATCCAGGCCTCTTCGTTGAGAGCATCCTTTCACTACCAGACGTGCCTTGTATTTGTCGATATTTCCGTCTTTATCCCTTTTTATCTTGAAAACCCATCTGTTATTGATGATCTTTCTTTCAGGAGGCAATGGTATTAAGTCCCAGGTTTTGTTTTCGACAAGAGATGTAATTTCTTCATTTATCGCATCCATCCACTGCCTTTCATCATCTCGTCCTTGTATGTCGTCAAAATGTTGTGGAATATCTTCGACAAAGGATTCTGCGCTTAAAGCCAAGACAGTGTAGTCATTTAAATACTTTGGCTTGTTTCTCTGTCGTGAGCTCTTCCTCAAAATCCTTGCTTCATCAGCATTATCGAAGTATTCGGATTCTTCATCACTCGGGATATCTTGTTCTCCGCCTGAATTGGGAGACTCTTGATTCCTTACTGTTTCTTCTGTAGACTTCTGTAGACTAAAATCATCATAAAAATCTTCAGACTCGGAGGTAAACTTTGACTCGTTAAAAATAACGTCTCGACCTAATAATATTTTGCTACTTTCCGGACACCACAGTCGATATCCGTTCGCACAATAACCCATTAGTCTGCAGCGTTTTGAACGTGATTCGAATTTTCCGTTGATCAGTTCCTTTGGAATGTGAAGATGTGCAACGCATCCAAAAACCCTCAGTTTCCGAAGATTGGGTTTTTCTCCATACCAGAGTTCTGCTGGCAGCTTGCCTTTCACAGCGTTCGTTGGGCATCGATTGATTAAGTAAACAGCCGCTATTACAGCCTCGGACCAAAAAATCTTACTCATTTTTGAATTCAAAATCATACAACGCGCCTTTTCGATTATTGTTCGGTTCATTCTTTCCGCTACTCCGTTCTGTTGTGGCGTATAGGGAATCGTGAGTTCGAATTGTATTCCGCAGTCCTCGAAATGTTGACGAATTTCAGTCGAGAGGTATTCCCTTCCATTGTCACACCTGAATCTGCTTACTTTGAAATTAAAATGAGCTTCTGTCAATGATTGGAACATTTTAAAA